CAGCAAATGATTTGGTTGAAAAACCAATTATTTGTCGCAATGAAAATGACACCTGCAGGTGTTCACAGAGAGGCTCAGAGATGATCCACGCTCAGTAACATACATCCCATCACAACTTTGGTAAACTTGGAGTGATTATGCAGCTAACAGTGTACAACAAACCAAAAAATAAATTAAGTTTTGCTGTCTGCTTGGGTAATGTTAACAATTTTCCTTCCCTGAAGTTTCTCTCCAGCTTAAAAGCCATTTTCAGTGTTATCAGTGGAATAAGGAAACGCACGGATAGGNAAATTGAAGAAAAAAACAATTTTAAAGATTGAAGCCACAATCGCATTGCCACTCCAATCAAGTGTGACGATGTTTGTTGCTCAATGATGGCAAACGAATCTGTCCAAAATTGAGCTGCATGTTCAGAATTTTAATTTCTCAATTCCTTTATTGTTGTTATGGTTGCTTGAGCTTGCAAGCAGCGTTACCACACAAAACAATTCTTGACAGCAAATGATTTGGTTGAAAAACCAATTATTTGTCGCAATGAAAATGACACCTGCAGGTGTTCACAGAGAGGCTCAGAGATGATCCACACTCAGTAACATACATCCCATCACAACTTTGGTAAACTTGGAGTGATTATGCAGCTAACAGTGTACAACAAACCAAAAAATAAATTAAGTTTTGCTGTCTGCTTGGGTAATGTTAACAATTTTCCTTCCCTGAAGTTTCTCTCCAGCTTAAAAGCCATTTTCAGTGTTATCAGTGGAATAAGGAAACGCACGGATAGGTTAACAGAGAGTACTGTACATATTACATAAGGTGTGAGAAGCAATAAACAGTACAATGCATAAGACAGCTGACGGCCAAGGATGATAGCCAAAGTAACTGCTCCTGCCCTTTCATCTGCTTCCATATCTCTTGTATTATTACTATGCAGAATCGCTTCTGTGCTCAATGCCACAGGAATAGCGTAAAACAGCGGAAACAAGGCCACGTTACCGCACTGACTCAGATAAGAAAATAATACTGCAAGGGGACCGAAAGTTATAACAATTACAATGTCACCAACTCCATAATATTTCAGTCCAACACCGCCTGTGTATAGAAAGGAGCCAGAGAGTCCCCCGAAGAACATGAACGATAAATGTTCCATTTTTGCCGGCGATAATCCCACCAAGAATACCAGTGCAAGACTAGCAAATCCGTACGACACCACGCCTAACTTGACAACTTCTTTCGGCGTTAAAAGATGGTCAACCAGTGTTCGATCGTCCGATACCTTGCTGTCAATTCCTTTCATGTAATCATAATAAGTGTTGACTAGATTTCCGGCCGCATGAACGCCGAGAACTGCGATCATTGATAGCACAAGCAAGATGAGGTTAAAATGGCCCGTCGTTTTCCAACACAACACAGCTCCTAAAACCACTGGGATACAAGAAGCCGAAAAAGACCAAGGACGGAGCGCTAAAAGGTAAGCCGACATTTTAAACGTCTTCCTATCGTTTTTTTCTTTCTTGACACCGTTCATGGTCAAAGTAATTGTCTGAAAATTATGACAAAATCTGTGATTTTTTTTTTGTCACTGTCTGCTATCAAAACGTGGCTCGTGCGGCTGCAGCGATTGCTGGCTCAGTATTCAGTAATTTGGTCATGTAAACGTCATGTTGTATCATGTCTGAACGGAACGACACAAACCTTTCATTTTTCCCAGCGGGATCTCGCACCAAAAGTGTAGACTACAAGCAGTCCAGGGACGCGCAAATTGACCACGTGCGTGACTGAGGGCGCGAGACGGCAGAGGCACGCCCTCGTTTCTCGTGTTTCAACGCTCGCGAGCGCGTACACTCTCCTTACTAAATCTGAAGAAAAAGAGAGACTGCTCGCAGTCTACCAAAAGTGATACCACTGTTTCAACCAAAACCGTAGGCCTCAAGCCTACGCGACCGGATAAGCTCAGTCGGTGGAGCTCTTGATTGCAGAGCCGGGACCGGACCAATACTCCCGGAGGAGGGTATTCCCATATAAGGCATGTGCCCTTCCCCCAAACAGGGTATGGTTTTGGTGCCATTTTGGTCTGAAAAGACGCTGAAAATGGGTATGGATTTTGCCTATTTTGGTCTGGAATCGGGCATGGTTTAAAAGGGAACTACGGTAGTGTATGAATGTGATTGTCGTTTCAATTATAAATGAATAAGAAAGAAAGAAATCCTTTTGTTGGCGTTCTAATTGCAGCAATGATGACATAATTTATGTCAATGTAAACATGAATGTTGCGCTTTGTGACATGACCACCACCAGGTCTGAAAACGGGTCTTAAAATAACTGAGAAATGAAGGTACTGCCTTTGTCCTGCCAGCGGCTAGACACATGTGGAAGTGGCGTTTAGCAGCCTCACCAAGCTGAGCGAGACTTTGGAACCATGACATCCACTGCCTTATTCCACTGCCTTTGATTGGTCGACCACCTAAACCAACGGAAATATAGCACGCCAACCAATCACAGATAAGCTTGCAAACGGTGCAGGGCTGATGTGGGGACTGACCAAATTTGGAAGAAGTTTGACATCAGTCACTGGCGTCCATGATTCCATAACCACAAATTATCAATTTTTGTCGACACGCAGGGCTGGCCAAAGCTGTTAAAACCAAGAGAGGATAACACCTAGAAAGGCTTTATCCTCCTTTGTTAAAACTCACGGACGGCGTTATCAGGGCTTTGTGGATAACACCCTCCTTTCGATCTTCATAATTTTTTGTGTTAGACCGTAAACTCCTGTTTACAGCTATTTTCGGAAAGGTTGTCGGAGAAAATGCACGCGACAATCCCGAAAGGCATTGTGGCTGGTTTTTTTTACTGTTCTTCAAAGAAATCTGAAAGAATGGCAGGAGAGCCCATGGACTTATGTTTGCGAGTGCTAAAGGAAAGCAGCAAAAGTAGGTTCGTCGGCTTCAGTGTCAGGGACAGTGTATTGGTCATATCCCACTTTACCTTCCTGGATTGTCGTGTGCACATTTTTTCCGACAACGTTTCTCGAAATAGCTGTATAATCCCCCTCCCCACTTATAAGCCTCCCCCCCAGTTATGGGCCTATCTACCTGTAAACAAAAAATGCTTCAGATTATAAGCCCTCCGGGTATAAGCCCCCCCCCGGACTTTAAACCCCCTCCAGCTAGTATTGAAATGAATTCGATTTTGACGATGTTTTGAAGCTTAAAAATGCTGGTAAATTCAAAAGTATTTTGATCAGCACTTTCATTTAGCTTCTTTGAAAACGTTTTTAACATCGGTTATAGTCTCCCACCCACCCTCGGTTATAAGACCTCTAAAGACCCCCTTACGTAGTTGTATAAGCCGAAAGCCGAAAGCCGAAAGTTTAGAAGCATTTTTATGAGAAAAACAACTTTTGCCACCCAGTCACGTCTGTATGGTTTTCCATACAAATCCTTGTAAATTCTTAAATTTTTAAACTGTCGTTAAATCTTTCCCTCAGGCATTTAAGGGCTCAAATTACCTTTCGAGACGACAGTGGAGACGAATTATTCATGTTCGAGTCTGCGTGAACTGACCGCCGCAATTTACCGATTCTACAGACCACAATTAAAAAGTATTAAAATAACACTGTATTCCACCAAGAGAACATGTTTTCTTTTTATTGATTGACAAACATATTAAACCTCTTAACAAGAAAACTTTAGAACGCGTCATTTCCGTGGCTACACAGTAGACCAACTGTTAGTCTCAAATTCTTCACACCGAGTCGAGAAAAGGCTGTACCTGGTAGGATGCTGAGCACCCATAACCAACTAAAATTAACTAAATTTAGTTAACCATGTTATGCTTGGTAGGATGCTGAGCACCCATAACCAACTAAAATTAACTAAATTTAGTTAACCATGTTATGCTAATTAGCAACAATATAAACACTCTACTACAGTCGACTCACGATAACTCGAACCTTCAAGGGAAATCGAAAAAACGTTCGATTTATCGAGAGTTCGAGTTACCGGGAGTTCGAAGAAAATAGCCGAGGGTATTAAAGGTAAGAAACAGTTTTTACTGCACAGTGAACATTTTAATCACATTTAATTGTAAAAATGTCAAGTGAAAATTAAAAGATACTTTCACATCATAAATCATAACGTAACGTAACAAAACATAGCCAAAATAGAGCATGCGTTTTACTCTTTTGAGAAGAAAAGCTGCTTCACGTTAGCCTGTGACCATGTGTGACAATCAACATCAGCCTCCCTAGTAAACTATACTCCTACAACACGTCAATAGGAAATCCAAAATTCAATGTTTTGGGGGCCAGTAGACGGCTTTTTTCCCGACTTTTTAGGGGCTCAAAACATGGTTGGAGTTATCGAGGGTAAAATTATATAGAAAATGATCTGAAGGGAAACGAAAATTGGTTCGAGTTAGCGGGAGTTCGAGTTATCGAGGGTTCGAGTTACCGAGGGTAAAATTACGGTGAATGTATGACGGAAATCCAGGGGAAATCGATTTTGGTTCGAGTTAGCGCGAGGTTCGAGTAAGCGAGGGTTCGAGTTATCGGGAGTCGACTGTAGTTACTATGAGTGAAACCGTTATGCAGATATGCTAGATGAAGAGACAGTTTTACCAAGACTTTTGGTGCAGGTATAAGAATAGGCTCGATTTCCGCCGTCTCCCGGGTCCGGTCTTTGATCCTTCCCCTCCTCTTTCGGGGGATGAGTGCGGGCTCATTTTCCCGAACAGCGGCTGGTAATCGAGCCTAGTATAAGAACTGATTTAACGTTACTTGAAAACTCTGTGGAACCCTGTTTCAGTGGAACTCTTAGACAGATCTGGTCTTTTTATATGTTTCCATACTACACGAAGTAATAGAAAACTTCAAAATTGTGTTTGATCCGCTTATTGCCTTAGTTTAAGTAAGGGTAGTCTGCTACAAAGCCGTTTTTAGTGTCGTTGCGTGACGACACTAAAAACGGCTGTGTAGCAGACTAGGGTAAGGAGGGATAGAAAATAATCATTAATATTGTCTTCCGCACCGAAAGGTGCATAGAACAGCAAAAAGGATAAATTCATTAGTTTCTTGCGGCTATTTCGATGACAACGCACTTTTTAACAGTGGTAAGGTTGTCAGCCACACTTTCTCCCCCTTAGGAATCTCATGGAAACGTAAGTCAGAGGGAAACGTGGTTTCGGTGGATGGAATCGAATTCTGACCTTGTACGAAGGCCCAATTTCCTGCACTAGCTAGTGCACGTACCTTTTTCATTCTAAAGCGTAGTTAAAGTAAAATCTTGGGAGAATTCCCGTCATACTAAGGTAGCCCTAAATGGAAGTAGCTCTGTAGCTAGATTTCGGTGAATTTCGCCTCCCGAGTAACAGTCAAATCCCGTATCCCGTCAAGACATTTTGCGTTGTCCCGAATCCCGCGCTGTATTTTGGCCAAATCCCGGATCCCGAGAATACACTTCTAGACTCTGATAGTTATCATTGGCAATTACACAATTGTTTCCACTAGAGACGAACTTCGGCTATTTTCATTCTTTTCCCGTCTTTTGTTATTAACGACGTTTGCCAGGCCATTTGGACGAACAGTGCCAGGATTGGAATCGATTGAATTGTACTTCGCATCAGGAAATTGTCCATTTCCAGTTTTGCGTTTCTTCTTGCGTTGTGTTACTTTCCGTTCACCCTTTTGGGATTTTTTTCCAATGCAACAAAGCCCAAGCGTTTTTTTCTTCTTTTTCTTCTTTATTTCAGTATTTTTCACCGGAAAATTTTCGTCTTCGAGTTCGTCCTCGTCATCATCCAAACCTGTTTGCCCTCCGTTTTCTTTTGAATAATAGTAAGCAAAGTTCGACACGATTACAGGTACAGGAAGGGCGATAGCCAAGACCCCTGTGATGGCACAGAAACATCCAACAAGCTTGCCACCTGCGAAATAAAGAGATCATTACAGTGAGTAACCAGGGAGGTCTTTGATCCAGCCAAATCGGTTAGGCCTATTTTCTTGGCTGTTGATCGGTTAGCAATAAAACTATAGAAATATCTATAATTTATGTCTAAATAAGACTGAAACTCCTCCACAGCTTCATTCAATAGCCCTTCTTTGTCTTTCAGCTGGTTTTAACGCCATTTCATTGATTTTAATACGCCCACATTATTCATTATGATGTTTAGTCAATAGCCCACTATTTAAATTCCAACATGACCCTCAGGCTTTCTGGTCATATTTCTATATTTGGATGGTTTTTTTGTTTGCTCAAGTCTCTTCTAAGAATTGCGAGACAGTGGAGTCGTGGAAAATTTACAATTTTCTCCCTAAAGCCTCGGAGTTATGTTAGAATTTTAATATATTGAACGTGGGCCATTTCTTCACCTTGTAAGCTTGGGTGGCCTGTGCTCTCCCTCTGCACAAAGGTTGACAAAGCTACATATGAACGGTTTAAATCTCATACGGATCACTAAATGACATGATGAATGAATGACACGATTCAATAATTCAATCTCCTATAGCGGGTGTGTAGTGTTGTGGTTAACTCTATTGGCTTTTGCGGTCAGCCGAATCCTAAAATGTTAATAGAAAATGCGGCATAACAAAGGAAAATATCAGCCAAATTTAGACGAAAAGAAAACTCATTTACATATACCTTTTCCTTAGAAGTTTAAGATTTCAGACTGGCCGTGATTTAATGCAATAAAAAGGACCTCTTTGAGACTAGAAGAACTCCCCGAAAATTGTTAGAGATAACTTTGATATTCTTGTATTGATTGACTAGAACATAACATTAACGGCAACTAGAACTGAGTAACGTGTTCGAGTGCGAAATAGGTGTTTTTATTTGTTTTCACTATCACCGCCTTTTTAAAGTAAAGTAGTAAATAAAGCCGACAGGACAACCCACTTGGGTTGAAAAAACGAAAATATTTTAGTTATGATTGGCCGTTAATTTATTCTTTTCAAAACTTGGTAAAGAATTTTAAACTCTGGATATGATACACAAGTCGCTGACCCAACTAAAGCAACGCTCTGTCCGAAAATTTCCATGTTTTGTTGCAATTAATAAACATTACGTGCATTTTAATTTTTAAGTTATGAAGGTCTGCTAAAACCCAATTTGGACGCGTATTCGTATGAGGATTTATATTGTAGGTTAACAAAATTTGTTTCTTAGTTATCTCTTCCACGAAAGAGATACGTTTAGAGCTGAACGTGGTTGGAGGATAATGTCGATAATGATTATGCAAAAGTTATTTTACTCAGAAAGACAGCTATTGTTAAAATTAATTAATTTATGGATATAAAGAGCTTAATTGATAATTCGCACTGTACGCCGCGTCTTAAAAGTTTAACAATGTATTGTAAACAAACAATGAACAAGAAAAACCCACCACCTTTAACTCAGTATGTGATCCACTACTCTATTGTGAACATTGAAATCAAAGTTATTTCGGAATACTTTTATAATCTTGCCGTATTGTTCTTTCCAATGCAGTAGATATATTCTTCAGTCAAGTTAATCACAGGGGGTTTCTTGTAGACCCTTGTGCAATGGTTTGTAAACAAGACTGGAATATTCTGTACATACCTAAAGTTTCTGGTGTCATGTCTCCATATCCCACAGTCGTCATTGTGATAATGGCCCACCAGAATGAATGAGGAATGCTTAAGAATTTATTATCATTCTCATTACTGATCTCAGCGTAATAAACAGCACTGGAGAACAAAATAACACCCATGCATAAAAAGAAAAACAACAGACCGAGCTCTCGTAAACTTGCTTTCAGCGTGTGCCCGAGAATTTGCAGTCCTCGCGAGTAGCGCGAAAGTTTAAAGATCCGAAACACTCGCACGAGCCTTACAGAACGAAGAACAGCCAACGATGAAACGTTCGAAGAATCTCCCATTGGGAGAGTTATGTAGTACGGTACGATCGATATCAGGTCGATCATGTTTAGAGCAGAAATGAAGAACCTCCATTTATTGGGACTAAACAGGAATCGAATCACGTACTCTAAGGTAAACCAGGTTATACAGAATGTTTCTATTAAGAAGAAAGGGTCCTCAGTCCTCTTTTTGGTCTTTCCTGCCGCTGTAGTTCCATTCGTAGATCTGCCTGGCTCTTCTTGAAACTGTGGCAAAGTTTCCACGCAGAAAAGAACTATCGATAGAATTATAACAGCTACAGACCAAATAGCTATTGCTCGCGCGAAATTCGATGTTTCCGGATACTCGAACAGCTCCCATACCAATCTCTGTATTTTGTTTCTCGGAAGAATCCGTTTGTCTTTTTCGACGTGTTGTTCTAAGGTTTCCCCAGCTTGAATCAAAGCGTCTTCTCCGAGATCAAAGAAGCGAATATCGCTAACAAACACTTTCCTGGGTATACCAGGCGGTCGTATTAGCACCCCAGATGTCTGATAGTACGCAAGGATCGACTCGAAACACAACCGATTCCGGTCAAAGAATAACTCCTTGTTTACAGCATCGTAAAAGTCTTGCCTTCTCTCCTTGCTTCCTAGAAGTGTATTAGGAAACGTCTCGAGGGTTTTCTCGTATGTTTCGTAACGCTGTCCAGAAATATTTATCACGACTCTTGCTCCCTTGTTTTCGTTTGAACTTCTGTAAGACAGCGTCTTAATGCTGTCCATAACTTCTTCTGTTATCTCATCTTCGTTCTCGTTACGATCTCGTGGCATTCCGCTAAGAAGACTTTCCATCTTTTATAATGTTTATAGTGTTCTAAATTCGTTTTGGCTACACTCGCATTCCTGTGCAACCCCAAAGTTATGTCAAATTCATGAATACACACTGCTCTTGAAAAACCATTTTTCACGGCACAATGATCTCGACTAACAATCAGTCATATTCAATCTGTCACGAAACTCTAAAGTGTTTTCTTTCTGTTAAGCTAATCATGCATGGCCCATTGTTGTGGACCTTGCTCTATCCTAAGCTGGCAAACATCCGTCTAAGTTAAACAAACCTCTGCTCTTTTTTGTGCTGCGGTTCACCTCGCTTAGCACCTCAAATCTGAATAAATCATTAAGAACTAATTATGTTATAGAAATCGATATTGTAAAAAGATGAAATCAGTCCTCTATTCTATGGCCTTTATGGTTGAGAATTTGACGATTCCACTGGCGAAATTTTGGGAAAGGCAAGCTAGTTCTTTCAGAAAAGTTACTCTGAGTCGCCAAAGCGTTTTTTGTGACGAAAACGGAGGCTTAGTTCTTTACACATAGAACCAGATCGTTTACAAAACAAACTTTTGAAGTTATCATGCTTATAATATTTTGTTTTGAAAACAAACTATTTTTTAAAACTTAAGCTGCTTTTTATTGAGAATTTCAGGGAAACTGAACAAAAATATTCACTAAAAAGAAAACAAACAAAAATTGGACTACAAATTCAAGAAAATTATAGTTTTGCTGAATTCCTGTATTCGACATGATGCCCTCTTACAACGCGGAACTAACGTAGAAGTCGCAAAAGGTCAAACTACACAAGAAGCTAAGAGATTCCACAATTTTATGAACGAATGAATGTTCACACTTTCGGGCATTAAGAACGGCTTAGAGCTTTTTATTTTTTATCGCCATTTAATGCGCAAATTAATTTCACCCATATATTGTGGTGAAATTCACTGCCTGAGATTTGACATCGCCAGAAAATAAACAAGGTTAAGCTGGTTGAAACTGCATTTTTTTAGGTCTGATAACTCTTGATAAAACTTCTTTCATTTCTAAGATTTTCTAATCCGACTAGAACTTTCTTGTAGTTGCAGTATGACTTTTACAATTTCAAATCGCGAGTAAAAAACTCTGATTTTTGTCGTTAAAGCCAAGGAGCTGGTTAAAAGATTCCCAAAAGGAAATAAACTTAAGAAAAATCAAGCCGTGTTACAAACTATCTTTACAACAGTTTGCGGCAGAATATTCTGGAAACGCCGCCAAAGATACTCAGTTAAGATGTTAGTGATAATCCTTTTCAGAGGGTCACGCGCCCTCGAGGTGTGGTCTAATGAGTTGTTATGTCTGACTCGTGATTATTTGATTAGCGTCTTCAGTGAATGAATTGCTGCAGCTTTTCTCTTCCAATACTCCTTCCTTGTCCATCAAAGGGTATAAAATAAGTAAAAAATATATGAAATAATTCCGGAATTTCAACCCACTCTGAAAAATATAAAAACTCAGCCAACAAAAAACCCTAGGTAGCTAAACTTTCATAACAGTTGAACAATATAAAACTGTACAAACAATTCACTAAAATGAATTTACATCACTAACGATCTTTATATTATGATTGCAATTCGTCGTCTTGACATGGTCAAGATTTAAGTGGGAAAATACCAAAGGTTATCAGTACTACACGAGAGGTAGCTAACAGTTATCAGCGAAAAGAACAACCTTCTTTATCACCTGGTAACAATAAAAACATTGTGGCAAAGTTACGTTATTGATACAAAATAACACTCTATCAGTATAAATGGTGTCTTGTTCACCATGAAAAGTCTTTACTGTTTATGACGCTATCCAGGAAAAAATGCCATTTGCTATGAGTAGATGACGGTATCGCTATCAACGATAAGTTCACTTTCAATGCCGGCCTTGTTGAGCGTCAATACGTTCTTTTTAAATCCTTCTTTCAGTTTTAAGTGTTCGTTTTAATTTTGCTTGTGCCTAAAAAATTTCTCCAGGGACAGGGAAGGGAAGGGATAGGGGAAGGGGGAGGGGAAGGGGGAGGGGGAGGGGAGGGGGAAAGGGTGGGGTGGAGGTTCCCCACTTTATTAAATAATATATAGATTTAGCCAGGGCTAAAAGCGAAGCTCTCGATAATATTTAATGTAATGTGTAATGCTAAGCGGCGAAGGCAACGCCGGAGAAAGGAGAAAAAACAACAATAGGTCTAATTAGCAAAAAAGCAACCTTGCACGTGCAGCACACTTTTTTTGTACATTTCTTTGCCGTTGTTTTGCACGACCACAACGTGAAACTTCCAGAAACTTTTTTATGGCGGAAATGTCGTACGTGTTCTCGTTCACTTTTTTTTCACTGCCGCTCATTTTCTCCTTGCACTGGTGGCCGCTAGCATTTCTCATTTTGTCACCGCCCCTACAAATTTTTCATGTTGTTCTTCCAACAAAAAATGTCTCCTTTGTTTTTTATCTCTCTCTCTAGATCTCTGTTGCCGTTTTTATCGTTGAGTTTCGCTGGCCTTCCTCTTTTTCTCTGTCTTTCTCTGGCTCTATATTCCAAATGTGTGGACATGACAATTAATCTAAGCTTAATGGTCCTTAATACTTTAGAAAACACGGATACAGAAACAATTTCCGCTTTTCGGTTTCGTCTTTTTTGACTCTTTAGTTGCCTCTGCTTTACAGACGCGGGTGGTTATGCGATTTCCCGCCAAAACAACCTCGAGTTGCATTTGGGTTGCCATACCTGTTGATTGAGTTATTTCACACTGGTATGCCTGTGGTGCGGACGGACGGTCGGGCGTACGGTCACGTGATTACCAAATTTTCTCGGATGGGTAGATTACCACATTTTCTTACCCATGGTGCTCCGCAGGCGCGCTTCGCGCGCCAGAGCTCCGCTAAAAATTTATAATATTTTTAAAATTTAATTTGGTTTGTTTTAGTTAGTCTATTAGGTTCATTTACTACATAAGTAACTTTATTCACATGCTTACTTATTAGTAAACCTCCTACTGCTTTACTTTACAACGCTTTTTCCGAGTTTGAGGCTTTTCACGGTTTTTCCCGACAAAACCCTCACTGGCGTCAAACGGTTTATCTCTAGGTTAGTTTTAGAAATGACGGTTAGATTTTCGAGAGCAAAATGAAAGAGTTCAAACTCCTTTCTCTGTCTAAACTGATCAATTTGCGTCTAATCATCAGGTGTTGTGAGGTAGTTTGTTGATTGATTAAAAAGTAATCATCCCGAGGATTGTCGCTGGTTTGTTTGAGCCCGAGCTTTCGCTCGCGCTTAAGGTTTTGCCGTTTTGTCTGGGTTTGTAGAACAAGATTACAGGGCTGTCAACCGCCAGCGTCTTCAAATATTGAAGGATGATAGATGACGTCATAATGTACGGCACATCACGTCATTTGCGCACTCCCATCGTCACGAATTTGCGATAACACGAAACGCACGAGAAAGATGTTGTTGGCATTGCAACATTTGGCCTGATTGGTTTACTTCCCACCAAGAGACCAATCGCATTATTATATTACATTATGGCAGACCGGAGTTTATGAGGAAACGATCGATCGACATTTCAATAGCCCAAACAACGCAAAATAGTTGACGCTTTATTGTCGGAAACTCGAGTCTACTGAAGAAATGGCAAACTTCGGCAATTGTCCGGGAGATTTCATACTCTAATCTGGAGACCAGAAGATACGGTCAAAAATCTGGAGTCTCCTGGTTTATCCGGGAGAGTTGACAGCACTGAGGTTAATCCGTATTTGTTTTTTTATAGCTGACCTTGATTGTTACCTGCGACACAGAGTTCCTGTTTTGGTTTAATGAAGAGCCTCGTACGTTTGTTTGTCACGTTTTTTGGTTTTCTTGTTCTTGACTTGATTGACCTTATAAGTTTGTTTTCACCCACTTTGGTGATCAACAGGAAGTTTGCTTAAGTCATTAGGAAGTGCATTCGTAGCCCTCATGGTCTGCAAGCCCGAACGTTCTTACATTTTAGTTACGTAGGTTGCCAATACTTGGCACAGTTGGTGTTTGAGTTGTAGCCATTGTAGAAGGACTTTTGAAAGAGCTGCTGTGAAGAGAAAAGAACACTGACCAAGATTTGATCTTCATTCTCATTCTCATCACATTCTCGTCTCCAGAGCCACTCGGCTTAATTTCTAACGAACGAGTGTATCCTTCGTTTCAACACCACGTGACTTGGGACGAGAATAATTACGTCATAGTGTTTGAGACCAGTAAGCGCGCATACTCCCATAAAAGACGATACCGTTCTCAGACTCTTCTCAGTCACTGCTGCGTTTTCGTGTGGACGGGCAAACGCTATTCAAAAACGCAACGTGTGGTTGAGGGTCTTAAATGGGAGGAAAAAATTTCAATTTTCAAACAAAAACGGGTGCGTGTGGACGGGGCTTTAATTGAGTTGGAGGCTATTTTACAATCAAGGATGTGTTTTCCTATTTTGTTTTTAATTTTTAATACAAGGAGCTTTCCCACCTTGATAAGCTGTGGTGAGAATATAATAATTAGTATCTTTTGAATTACCATTATTAAAGGAAAATAGTTTCCATTTCAAAACAGTTTTTGTTTTCTGGCTCAAACATAATATTACCGGACGTTTCTGTTGATCAGTCAAAAAGATAAGAACGCTAGCAATCAACGTTGTTAAGGTCAAGTCCAAAAACGCTATCAAACTAACAAAAGTGCAGGGGCGGATAAGAATAATACAAAATTTCTCAAAAAGGACGGGGAAACATGGTCGCCTCTGCCAAATCGTAAATTCGCCCATGAAAGAAATCTGTCAGAATTTATAAGTCTCATAACCATAGTATAGAAAAATTTCCTTCCGCAGATCTTGGGAGCAAAAACCAAGTTCCTATGGGGCCGTTTCTCGAAGCTACTGTTGTTTACATTCAAGATTGAGGTTTCAATAGTTTTTCAGATAACAGATAAAACTATCAGTCACCAGCACAAATGGACTGGTTCGTTTGCGTAGCAAGCATTCCCGCGGGAGTTCGTCACTTTCGCTCCAGCATTCGCGCAATGACTGGATTAAAGACGCTTGCTACGCAGGCTAGCTAGGCCCCGCTCTCTTGTTATGTAGATTTTGATTTGTCAAATCAAAAAAGTCCGCAGGAATTTTCCAAAAATGGGATAAACACAACGACAGTTGTTAACGTGAGTATTAGGCCTCCCTTAGAGGGTTAGGGGGGAGGAAATTTTAGAGAACCAAGGGGAGGGGAGTTCGTTTCTCTCTTCTTCTCCCCCCCCCCC